AAAATAACAAAATATGGACGTAATATTTTAAGAAAAATAACAAAATATCAAACGAGATGGAACGCTCACAAGTCGTCTTTCACAGGTGAAGTTTCTTGCCAAACTAATCTCATACGGGACTCCATTTGTTAATTAAATCCCTGGTCGGTGACAAATATGTTTTTCATACGAAAGAAGAATTTAAACGCAAAAAATGAATAAGTACATTTTAATGAACGTCGTTTTTTGGTTGCTATGATATCAAACTTCATCAACCCTGTCGTTATTATTAACAGCACTCTTGCCACTGCCTTCTTTCCTGTAATAAAATTCTTATTTGAATCCAAATCTAACAAAATTCTGCCTCTCAACTTTTTCTGAAAATATTCTTTCCTTTTTCATCCATCATTATTTTGTCCTTTTCTTATGTATCAATTTCTGACAGTGAAATTCTCACACCAAACCCATTCTTCCATTTCTGTAACCTCTCAGAATATCCAAAGAATTCTTTGGCTTATTTGATTTTGTGATGAACTTGTTGGTTGGTTAAACATTCTTTGGGCGAATCGTGTGGAGAATTGTGTGGAACTAACAATAGATTCTACGACGCTAAATAAATCGGCAATGATGACGATTCCGTGTGTAACCCTATTGACTGTTATAGGCTTTTTTGAATTTCAGGTGAAACACCCGACTTTCATAGCAAACTCATAACATAATGTTCTCATTTTTCTTTCCTTCAATATATTTCCTAACCCTTGCAAATTTTCTATAAAGTATTAATATGTTTTTCTTGCGAAACAAAAGTGTCTATAAAATAACATTTTCATGATAAATATATGGATATTAAACAAAATTCTAATAAAAGCAAATTTATTCAAGATTTAAATAAATGTCTCATATTAATTAATGTAAAAAAACTAATATTTTTTAGATTTGGAAACTTTTTTGGTCAAGTGGAATTGGCAGATATATTTCTTAGTTTATCATGTGTTACAACTCTCGTAAATGATTCGAAAATTCAACTAACAATATTTTGCGTTCGATTTATTTTCATAAACAGATTCTGGTTGATGTTTCAATCACTTTTAGACTCGCATTTTATTATCAACATTCCAAATATTTTTCTTTTAATTTTTATACCGCTAATTATTAACAGAACAGACATCTTGCCGACTATATAATTTTTATACGTCTATATATGTTTATATTGACATATATTTATCTATTACTAGCAGTAGAGCCCGACGTTGCCCATGGATGTAACAGTAAGAGATAGATCAAGTATTGACCATCATAAAGACTGAAAAATAAAATTGACAAAGATTATTGTTTAACACGCATGTTTAACACGCATGTCTTAATTAGTTTTTTTTTTTTACGAATTGGTCAAACCCAAACTCAAACAAAAACATTGTTTTCAATCGTTATGAGTCTACCGATTGAATAGAATTTAGGAAATCCGATCCCATATATAAACGAACACACACACACACACACACACACACACACACACACACACACACACACACACACACAATCCGGGTTTTATAATAAGTATAACTCGATATGAGTTGCCCCCCTTGCATTAATGCCTCTTAATCGTGTTTTCAAATTGATTTCGTGCAAAAACAATTGTGTTTTTCCAATTTTTGGCGCTGTCAGAACCACCACAAGGTAATTTTACGTAGTCCTGTGAAGTTTTTGTTGAAATCGGTTGAAAATGTAGGAAATCCGATCCAATACACACACACACACACACACACACAATAACCTGGGTTTTATAATAAGTATGATTGTAGGATTAATTTTTTGTGAGGTGTACCGAAAAAGTATAGATACATTTAGGATTTTTTTCTAGTTTTATTATCAAGTAAGAAATTTCTCCTTTTAGAAGATCGAAATGATTTTACGATCATTATTTGATGTTTATCTTCATCGTCCATCTTCTTCTCTTTCTCCTCCTCCTCCTTCTCCTCATTATTATTGCCAAATTTGTAGTCAGTGCGGCAAAAATTTCTGCAAATTTAGAATTATAATTGAATGGACTAACAAATCGGATAAAAAGAATTTATATTTAGAATAAGATTTTAATTCTAAAAAAACTTGATCTATTCAAAGCGGAACGTAAAAATCAAATTTAAATAAAGGAGCTTTATATAATTTAGAAAACAATCACAATTTTATGAACTGAAATTTAAAATTCGTTTTTCAATTGGGTAAAATCAAGTCAATAGAGTCACAAGACGAGTAAATATAACCAAGACATTAAAAGTTGTGTTAGTAAGAAACTCCATTGTATACAACGCATGTAGAGAAAGCTTTATTGCTATTTATTTTGAGCAAATCTGCAGCTAAACATCTTGATATATCGTACGTTATCTATCGTCTCGTGTAGCATGTTCCTCACATATTGGTTATTTAAAACCTAACTACTGGTTACTTGTGGCTTTCTGCCAGGCTAAATCGGTATAACAAAAGGATATAGTCTTTAGAGACTGGCACACAGCCACAATAGTTAGGCGTCCAATCGAAATTATTACATGAATGATTTAGTCTGCGAAGTTAGATTGCTAATCAATATACTAGAAAAGGCGAATGTAGTCTTACTGACCATTGCTCGCTTAATGATCTCTCTACTCACTAGGTGCTCCTCTGGAAGCGGTGGTGAATAAGTTTATTGGAACAGATTGAGAATAGATAACAAAACCAACAAACAAGGCGCAGACAATTCAATTTATAGATTTTTGTATGACTATAAAAACATTGATTTCGTTTTGTCTAGAATTAGTTTAAGGTTATAAGTTTGAAGAAGAACTCAGAAGCAAATCAATAGCAATAATCAGTTTTTCTAACGTGAACCCGAGGGTAGTTTCGACAACATTTTGATGGTTCTACTCTTTGCTTTCTTGCGCTTTTCACACTTCAAATGAGATGTTTGAAAACTGTCATATTGCAACTGTATGTAATATTTGCTTCAAATTAGATTGATTAAACTTGAAATCACCAAATGTTTCTCAAATAAAGTTGCAAAAAAAGGATATTTTATTTTTGAAAGGTTTTTAACAAAGAGAATATCATTTTGCTGAAAGAATTGTAAATACGGGTAAAATCAGCCATTTTTAGCGATTTAAAAAACTACTCAATTAAATCTAATCAATTTAAATTCCTTTTGATATACAACAAAGTATTTTGATTATTTGAAGTATTAAAAAATTTAGTCTATTAGCATGAAATTAAAACTAAAATAAAAGCTTCAAGCAAGATTTTTTTATTTTTATAAATTCATTTTAAACTTTAGGCATCGCGTTTATTTGGAGATAGGTACCAATATATATATATATATATATATATATATATATATATATATATATATATATATATATATATATATATATATTATTGCGGAACGAAAAGAATTATCGTTTCATAACTCATGCTATTATTTGTCTCGCAAACACTATTTGGCAGGGATATACGAGTTCGGGTAAAAAGAAAGCGAATTTAAACAAACAAGAATTAGTAAACGTATTAAGAAGTGATGTTTACAAAAATATAAAGAAAGACATGAACTTCATCGTTGAAGTTATTCATAGTTCAACATTATCTTCAGTCGATGTCACTGAAGTGTTTACATGCCGTGTGTTCTACGCAAGAGAAAGAATAAACGCGTATTGTCGCTTTCGAAGTCAAAGGGAAAGTGGCGAACCTTTCAAAAATCGTCTCGCCTGTAAATATCATTAGTGGTAATCTATCTATCTATCTATCTATCTATCTATCTATCTATATATATATATATATATATATATATATATATATATTTGGTTGGATTGATGTGAGTTTGTGACCCTGGGTTTCACGCTTTTGCGATTGTCTGATGATTAAAAAGATTTTACGATTGTCTGATGATTAAAAAGATAAACATGACATAGCAGAAAACCTCTTTCATAATAGCATATGAAAGTTAAAAGTTTTAAAGTATAGGACAATTTAAATTCGAATGTTTACTGGAAACCAAGAAAAATGTTCAAAATACAGAAAATACACTTAACAAGAAATCCGTTTATGTATTTAACCAAAATTATCACTGAACTTATATAAATGAAAAATACTTGCCTAGATTTACCCCGTGTGTGTGTGTGTGTGTGTGTGTGTGTGTGTGTGTGTGTGTGTGTGTGTGTGTGTGTGTGTGTGTGTGAGAGAGAGAGAGAGAGAGAGAAATGTTTTGATAAAGTTCCTTCCATTTCAAAGTAATTTCCGGTTATTGTCGTTCAAAATATTTTGTACTCGGTTCTTCATTTCCTGAAAAATTATCCGTTTGAATATTTTGAAAATATCGAGCTTCAAAGTGTTGCACAAGTCAGACACAAGTAAAATAAAAAACTCCATTTTTAAAAGTCTCTCTAGCGTTTAACCGGTAGAGAGTTCTTTTGAATGTGAGAAGAATGAGAAGAAGAAAAGGAAGAGGAAGAAGGATAAAGTAGAGAAGTAAAAGAACAAGAAGAAAGCGAAGAAAGATGAAGGGAGAAGAAAGAAACAGTCGTTTAAAAAGTAAATAAACAATGAATATATTTAGATAAACCAGAATGAATAATGTAGTCCGTTCAGTGCCAACTGGGGGGGGGGGCTATATACTTCTCGTCCACTAGTAGACGAAACTTAGTAAATACAGACAGGTGGACCATCAGTAGATTAAAAAAAATATATATTAACATATAAAAAACGAACAGATAAATTTGAGGAGACAGATGAAAAATAAATTTTCTATTTCTGTACTGACGCCAGTTTTCGAATATTCAGTCATTGCTATAACAGGAAAAAAAAAAAAGATATAAGAAAAAAACCATTAGATCTACAAAAAGACAAAAGATTTTCTATTATTTTAACTTTGTGGATTTATACATAAGTTAAAATCACACAAAAAATATAACTTGTTTTATTATATTTTAAACCAATTGAACAGCTTGGCAAAGTTGATGCATTCAGATGTGGACCAAGAGCTTTTACTTATTAGAAATTACTGAAAGTTGGCACGAACTTAGGAAGAAGATAATGAAATCAAAGAAAAATGAAAGAATATGGAAGGGATTGAAGTCAAAGAAGAAAACCAGAAAAGGGAAGAAATTAGAATAAAAGAAGACTTCCAGAATATGGAAAGAATTGATTGCCGGGAAATGGTATAAATCTATATCAAGAAGAATCCCGGAAAATGGAAGGAATTGGAATCAAAGATAATTGCCAGAATATGGAAGAAATTGGAATCAAAGAAGATTGTCAGAAAATGGTAGAAATTGGTATCTATGAGGTTTGTCAAGAAATCAAGTATGCTTGACTAGATTAGCAGGAAATGAAACAAGATGGAATCAAATAATGTTGGTAAAAAATGAATGGAAATAGAATCAAGGACTGTTAGCTTTAACTGTAAGAAGTTTGACTGAAGGACTGTTAGCTTTAAATATAAGAAGTTTGACTGAAGAACTGTTAGCTTTAAATGTACGAAGTTTGACTGAAGGACTGTTAGCAAGAAACGAAAGTAGATGGAATCTTGATCGATTTGTTCAAAATTTGAGGAGATTCAATCAAGGATTATTCAAATTAATTTGCATGAAAACAAAACAAAGATATCTCATCGAGGAAGATATGACTTCTCGTCTTTTATTACAGGGAGTCATAGAGACTCTTTTACAACATTTGTCAAAATGTTTCAGCGATAAAAAATGGATACTCTACAAATGTCCGAGAAAAACTTTCCCGTGATGATGTCAGTTATTTTGAAAATACTGCAGTGTTCAACATAAAATTTCTCTTTTTTTTGACTGACTTGCCCTGACCGTTTCTTGTTGAAATCTTTTCAATATACTTTTTGTAAATCTTTACGTTTTTTTGTTCGTTGCCAATCCCACGACGGCAGCGTGAATTGCATTGTTAAGAAGTTTCATTGATTTGATATGGTCATAAACATTACAGACAATTGGTATTTTGATCAGATTTTATAAATAATAAAATCTAGTTCATTTAGAGTAGTTGATATTTATTTGAAAACCATGCGAATAAAAACAAGATTTATTCCTTTAGCAGCCGCAAGACAAATGATTTAAGACACAATAGTTAAAACCGAAAGTTTGTCCTTCCCGTAAAAAACTCCGGGATGAAAAACTCCAGGATGTTTGGATGAGAGGCTTGACTTGTTATTTCTCGAATCATTTCTCTTTCTAAGAAGAAAGCTAAGGGCTGGATGGAACATTGCATACGTAAAGTACAACGTTTCGTCAAGAATCATATCAATTCCAATACGATGAAAGCCGAGATATTTTATATCGGACTTTTTATATACCTCACCCTCTCTCACCTTCTACTCTCTCTCCTACACGCTATCTCTTTTTTCATATATATATATATATATATATATATATATATATATATATAGTGTACAAAACATCCAAGAAATGCTTGACGATAGACTCTTCGCAATTAACTCGAGACAACGAACCTTACTTAAGTCTGAAGGCATAAAAAGTAAATATAAAAAGGCAAAAAGACTTAATAAAGCAAGACTACAGGGAACCTTTAAAACACTGTAATTCGGAAGAATGGTAAATCCATCATTTTCCTTATTTTATACAAGACCGACCCAATGAAAAACTTGTCTCTATTCTAACAAAGTCAAATTCAAAATAATAAACACACTAACATCATTCCCAAGACACAGATAAGCAAACATCACAGTAAATAACACAAAATTCGAATAAACCTCATAAAATTGTTTTACGATTTCACATAAATATATAAAACCTAAAGTTTTTTCCTTTCTCAGACGTAAATAAATTTCGAATTATTTGGATGAGATATTCAACTTGTTGTTTGTCGAATGATCTTCCTTTTTTAAAAAGGAAACTAAGGGCTGTATAAATCCTTCCGCATTTAATGTATAAAAAACCGTCGAGAACAAGTTCAATTTCAATATCAAATCCTGCATATATGCTGTCTATATTAAATCGTAAAACACAAACTTAGTTCGTCCCTACGTTCCATAATTTTATAAATCCCTAACCCTTATAAATCCTTACCCCTTATAAATCCCTACCCCTTATAAATCCTTACCCCTTATAAATCCCTATCCCTCATATCACTTATTCAAAATTTACGCTGACAGCTTGTTTACCAATGTCCTTGTTAAAGAAACTATGGAGGGATAGTAATACAAAACGAATATAAGTATTCCTTGCTCCCACTTCCTACAATTAAAAAATCCAAATTTTACGTAGACTTCTATCCTGCACGACACAATTACCTTTTCATGATCATTAACGCAACATTTACACACCAGTTGATGGCGTAGCTATCGGTTCACCTCTCGGCCCTACTTATATTAAATTTCTTCATGAATCATGTAGAAAAGAAAATCTTAAATAATTTCACCCAGGCTACCATATATGTTCGATATCTCGATGACAAAAACTTTAACAAAACCTTTGAGAATAATTCCGTCCTACACTTTAATTATCTACATATTAATTGTCTTGTTAAAATTGAAATGTTTTAATTAAACTTGCTGAGTAAATTGATATTTGGTAAATTCCCAGCAGCAAAGTCGTTTACAAGGGGCAAGAGTAACATTCAGAAATAAAACACATTCTTATCTTCGCGTTCCATTTTTTTTTCTTCATTATTTTTTTAATCTTGTCTCACCAAAAATCTTACGAGGGAAAAATTGACAAATAAATAATGAAACAAAACCATTTACAAATGAAAATAAAAAATATCAGTAAAAATCAATATATTAGAAATACCGATTACAAAGCGAGAATCATTTTCGAAGTTATAGCGTATTTCTCAGTAGTACATTACATTCTAAGCGCTCATATTATTATCCCACCTGACCTTAAGCCAGACTAGGCTGTCTAGTAAATACATGCTGAAAGTTGTATAATCGTTGTAACAAAGTATGAATATGTACATTATTGTTTGATTTATTAAATCGTGTTATTAATTAAATTTGTCTAATTAGCGCTAATCAACAATATGTAAGCCACAGATTAAATCAATTTCACACAAAGCAAAATATGTTCCATTGTATTGTACATAGTATTGACAATGATGACGGAATCTATGCTTAAGGATGAAAACTGCTCGTTATTCGCTCTCACAATCATCTGTTACAACGCCGCTTTGTTGCGGAGGTGGAGTACTCGCATAATTTGGTCTATTCACACTTTAACACTTATAGAACGAGAAATTATACTCAGTCATGTGAATCAGATTTTTGAGTTCTAGCCGAGGCAATTGAAATGAAAGAGAAAGTAGAATATATCAGACACATATCAACAGAAATACTGTATGTTAAATAACAGAGAGGAAGATATTCGTTGGAAAAATATGCAAGGAAAAAGGAATAGAAGGAAAAAATGTTTATACTCCCCGAACATGAGTTTATTTCATATGAACGCCATTTTCTATTAAGTTCATCTCATCTCTGTTATTTATACCGAATTCTTTATGTTTTCTTTTGCAAAATGGCGGAGTTTATTCTGTTTTTCCCACCTTGATCCCAAAATATCATTGATCTTCAAAATATAAGTTATTATTATTATTATTATTATTATTATTATTAGTAGTAGTAGTAGTAGTAGTAGTAATCGTCGTAGTCGTCGTAGTTCGTCAGCGCTCACCAGTCATCGGTCGCATTTTTACCGTGAAGCAGAAATTGAATGCTATCCCGAGTCGCTGATTCTCACAACAAAAATCGAAAAAATTACAAATACGCACAAAACGTTTTTGGCCATGTGAATGCTGATTTCAAGATTTATGGTATTGCTGGGTTGCCAGCCTAGGTTCTTCACACGTAGAAAATCATAAGAAAGGAAATCTCTTTTAATTCATTGCTTTGGTTGAAAATGAACACAACCTTGATTATTGCACAATGCGATTATTTAATATTGTCTTTTTCTTAACTCAATCTCGCAATGTTTACCGTTGAATCAATGGCAGTGACTACTCTATCCGTTAGTATTCATGACAGATAGAGACAATAAAAACATCAATCTATTTGGAGTAAATTTGATACCTAATAAATATCGGTTTATTTTTATTATTGTAACTCAGTCATTCGAGATTTATGCAGCATTTTGGAAAGGCTAAGATCGTTTTATATACACATATAAGAGTAAAAAAGTAAATCTCCTGTAAAGTGGCGAGATTTGAAAGTCTCCATGAAATGCATTTTGTGTAAGTATGAAAGAACAACGGCAATTTTAATATTTAAGAAACTCTTTCTCTATTCGTTGTTTGAATCAATTTCATTGATGTGCATTGCGCATGACTGATAACAATGGCATTGGATCAACAGTTCCGTCATCCCACAAAGGGATCAGTAATGAGAAAGAAAGAAAGAAAGAAAGAAAGAAAGAAAGAAAGAAAGGAAGAAAGAGCGAAAAAAAGAAAGAAAGAAAGGGGGAGGAAAAATACAGGACAAAAGAAAGCAAGGAAAGAGGAAAAAATAAAGGAAGAAAGAACGAAAGCACGTTTATTGAAGTTAACTGATTTAATGTTTCTTGAAAGACAATGAATGTTCGCACGGTTGAAGAAAATAAAAAAACAAAACAAAAATAAGTTATTATTTTGCAACCAGCCGAAAGCAACATGTAACACGAAGTTGATTATCTTGTGTGGAATTTGCAATCAAACCGGAGACATCAGGCAATAACTTGAACACCCCTTTAAAGAGAAATAACATGGATTGCTTCCTGAAGAATGAATCTTCGGGTCTCAGTTTGGCTACTTGAGATGGATACTTTAGATGGGAAAGAAGCACAAAAGGGAAAAGAAAAAGAGAAAGAATAAGAAATGAATGTGGAAAGAGAAAAAGTAGAAAGAGAAAAAAAAAAGAAAAGAGAAAGCGGCTAAAGAGGGAAGTGATGAGATGAAGAGAAGAAGAGAAAAAGAAAAGGGAGTAATAAGAAGCAGGTGAAGAAGAAGGAAGAAAGTCATGAGCGTGAGAGAGAGAATGATTGGTAGAGAGAGAAGCTAATAGAAAGAAAGGAAGAGAAAGAGAATAAAAGAAGGAAAAAGTGAAATACAGGATGAAGTGAGAGCATTAGAGCAAGAAATTATGGCCAGAAAGTCATATCTCGCAAGCGATACAAGGCTTTTCTAACCTCATTTTTTTATCTAAAACCTCGTACGTTACTCATTTAATAAAAATAGCAACAAAAAAGCCATTGATTTTTTTCTTTTTCATTTGACGTAGACAAAATCTTCTCCAATTTGTTCTCTATAAAGCTTCATGTTATCGTATTTGTCTCATTTCTATCAGAAAATTCATGACACCTAGCACAAAATGTCACGTCCAAATAAAACAAAGACATCAAACATACATAACGTGTGGCACCCCAGCCTTTTTATCCTTCGGCGTCTTCTAAAATTCCAAAGTCGTTTTAGTTGTATTGTGTACCAAAAATCGCAGAAATTGCAAAAGTGGAGAAATGCAGGATTGTGAATGTTGTCTGAAATAAATGCGAAAAAATTTGCATTCAGTCCGTTGTGTGAATTGGTCTTTGGTGATGAAAGATAAAGTCATTTTTTAGGAAGTTATCTGATTGACTGTGTTAGTAATTGTGGGAATGCCTGATGAATAGAAAAAATGTGAAAACATCAAAGAATCAAGTTTAGGGCTCGGAGAAGAGGAAGAAACAATGCTTCTAAAGAATTGGCCTCTTTGAGTTTTTCGCTAAGATTGACTGAATTGCGTGGAATTCATGAATGACTAAATGCAATTGAACTGGTGAAAATGTGAATTGCAAATGGTGTGTGCTGGCAAAATAAACCAACGAAGCGTTTCAAAATTCTTCATTTGACTGACAAAGTGCAACAAGTACTTCATGAATTTGAACAAGATTTTCCGAAGTTCTTAGATTAAGTATTTTTATTATTATTGTTATATTTTTGTGGGGGGATTAATTTATCGTCTATTTTTATTATTACTGTTTTTATTGCAACACCCACGTTTTTTTAAGCAAGTGACATCGATCAAAAATCACAAGAATGATATATAACATAGGCAATGTATATATATATATATATATATATATATATATATATATATATATATATATATATATAGTCACAACCTTTCTCGTTTGATTCTATCGAAGTTATGTTCTTTGTTTATACTTATTAGTACAACTAATAGCATCTGCGGGTAATAAACATCAACTGTAAGATAAACTAAATAAAAATTAATAATAAAAATAGTACTTTGCATTGTAAAGACAAAAACATTGTGAAGAACAACCGTTTTGTTATTACAAAAGCGATTAGATCCTTTAAGACTAAAAGAGTAGTTAAGGCTTCTAGGCTAACTTGTTAAAAATCATTATTTCATTACAGTTATTAGAAGGACAGGTAATAGCTTACTAGCGTAATGTATTGCTTGAAAGGACCGTACTTTTTAAATTCATGGATGTTGACACATGTTCGATAAGCCAAATAAGTCGTATTTCATGTTGAACGTTATTCAATGCTATCATCAAATGCATAACGTCAAAATTGTTATATAAGTTGAGGCTTTATGTTTTAACAAAAAAATCACTTCAAGCAACTAGATAAAATTCATTTATGGTCATCAATAAGAAAGACAGCCTGAAAAGCGAGCTATGAATTGGAGATATCAGCGTTAAACAAGCACAGAAATTTAAATATCTGGGAAGTGTTTTGACAGATGATGGAAAATGTGGCACGAAAATCCGAAGCACGCTCTGGACAAGTAAAAGAGTTTTGGATTGTTATATTATATTTATTCCCTTATATGGCAGGGAATCCTGTACTATTTCATCACAGACGAAGAGAAAACTGTAGGCAACAGAAATGTGGCTCTACAGAAGGGTACTGAGAATTCCATGGACGGACCGAGTAAACAATGACGAAGTCTTACAGAAAACGGCAACAAAAAGAACACTTATGCACAGAATCAGGAGTGGACGGCTGAAATTCCTTGACTACATACTGAGAAAGGTCTGAGAAAACCACACCCTCAACAGACTTACAGGAGAACTAGAGGAAGGCAGCGAGAATGGATGGCGGAATGGTGGGCTCGAGGCTTAGCAAAGGGAGAATAACTGCTAATGGAGAGGAAGAGACACGAAGGTTTTGAGAGCCATGATTGCCAACGTCCTGAAGAGATACGGCACATTGAACAAGATTTAGGTATGAGGAATCGGTTACCATTAATCAGAAATTGAAGATTTTTTTAATCATATTTTTAAAGTATCTGAAGTGAGAAACTAACCGATAAAAATCTTTTTTTTTTCTTGACCTAACATTGAAGATTGAAACTTGAGTTTCATGATATCGCTATCCTATCGGTGAAAATGTAGAAACCAATTCACATCCGAATGATATTTTGCGACATATATAACATCTGATCCATTGATGACTGTATAGATTTTCTTGGGCAAAGGAATGGTAGATTTCCTTGCAAACTATATGAAAAATAAATATGGAAACGGTAAGTCTTGAATATGTCTATCTTTCCCTTTTTGGACACAGCTATTGATCAAATTTCACTGAATTGGGGATTTTCATTAAGCAAAAAAAAAAAAAAAAAAAAAAACACAACATATATTTAGTAGAATATTCACAGAGCGCCTATTTACGACAGAACTCATCTTCAGTGACTTGCCTGATAAGCAAATTGATTACTGTATGACAGCGAGCCTCTTTAAAAAAAACATGAATATAAAGTTCAGATGGCGTAAATAATCAGAAATAAAAACGATTAGCTTCATAAGTGTAGAATTAAGTGCTCAGCCGTTGTTTCCGTTCCCAAATCAATTAAGACGAATCCCATATTAGACGTGGTCCTGGCATATGAGATGATTAGTTCAACTTTCATCGGAGGCACTTAGTTATTTTCGATTCACGCTATTTATTTTAGTAGCCGTCGTAGACTTTATCAACCTGGTGGTTGTGATGAAAAGCAATAATAATAATAATAACAACAAGATAGATAAAAAAATCAATAATGGCTGGTGATGAGTTTTGAAAAGTTTTTCTTAATACAAATAGAAGGAAGCAGGGCTTACTGTTATATAGCGTTGAAACGATCACCGAAGTTAAGGAACAACAAGCCCGATCAGTACCTAGATGGGTGACTGCTGGGAAATACCAGATGTAAGCGTGGGTGTGCGGATGGTGTATTGAATAATGACACGGAATTGTTCAACAGAGAGCCGAGTTCCAATTTTAGTTGGATTCGTTATATATTTACTTACGCGCAAATACCCTGGGGAAAGATATGAATCCATCTCTTCTCCACCAGCTATGGGTTAATTAGTAAGACTTTTAACAATAAATCATCTACGCCCACAAAAGGTATTAAAATCTAAAAACATTTTCTGGCTTTAAATAATCTGCGAAGTGTTGACAAACCGTAAAATAACGAATCAATCAAATCAAAAGGAAGCAGAGAAAATACGATTTTCTTAACGGTTAAGAATAATTAGCATATCAAGTGATTTTCTTTGACAGACTTTAAATCGTGCCATCATAACTCGTTTCGTATTTCATTGTCTAGCGTTTATGATTGAAATGACATTTCTTTAGGTTATTGCTCTTTGGAATTGATAACCTGGGGAAAATAAATGAGAAAATTAGCAAAATATGTCAGTCAATTCATATGAAACGATCAATAACAAAGCGACAATGACGATGCAACATCGAAGTGTGTGGGGGTGCAATCGCATCCCCCACCCCGTCAAAAGGGAAATTACTTATCACAAGAACAGACTGGAACCAGAAAAAAAGATCTGATTGCAGTCAAAAAAAGAAGACTCGATTAGTGCAAAAGAGAATGGGTTGAGATGTAGCTCAACACACGCGCGCGCGCACACGCACACACACAAAATATATGTGTATATGTGTGTGTGCGCGCGCACACGCCAATATTCTAAAATAGGCGAGATTGCATTCTCTGTAAATCAGTATTTAGATTTATCAACTATAGCTGCAAAATGAAATTTACTGTAAAGAACCAAGCATCTAAATACATACTGTTAGTGATAGATAGATAGATAGATAGATAGATAGATAGATAGATGGATGTGTTGCCAGAGTGTTACAAAACACTCCACTTCCAACATTGCTCAGCATTTCTGTTAAAGGCGACCGTATGACATCGAATATTTTAAACCAGTAGAACGTAAATTGCTACGTTTTGAATCAATTTCAGAGCATTACTACCAGAGCCCTTCTCGCAAGGGGTCGAATAACCTCAACCGAAACATCACCCTCAATACCTACCAAACTATTCCATCCTAAATCCTCAATGATATTTGTTGCGCTTTTACTTTTCTAAGTATACTGGATTTTTGTCGATATTCCCTATTGACTCACATGTTCTGTTTTGTGAGTTGGTCATTCTTTCTGACGGATCGTTGTAAAAGTTCCGGATGAGAATACGGTATTTTGCAAAGGAATTTGTTTAATTAAGCGATTTAATACAGAAACAACTGCTACTCTTGGGACGTGCAGTTTGTTTTGCAAAGAGGTCTCAATTCACTCGATGCTTCTGGAGCTGCCACCAATGGGTATAATGCAGTTGTCGATAAAATACAGCCAGAACAGGCCAAGGATAAACAATGTCTTACTGAGCAATGCGACCATGAGGCAAATGAAACTGACAAATGCAGTTATAAGCAGAAAAAAGAATTTTTAAAATAGAAAGAGAGAGAGAAAGAAAGAAAGAAGAGAAAATGCCTCTCTATAGAAGTTCAATTGTAAAGCATTATATAAAGGTAATTACCGCCCTTAAAAAGTTTTTTTTTTATAATTAAACGAATAGAGTATCATTAAAAAGGATTCGACATAGTGGATATCTATTTCCCACCGATGTTAGAAGTCAGTGTTCGAGCTCTTGTAAAAACTAGAATCTCACAGACTATATATATATATATATATATATATATATATATATATATATATATATGTGTGTGTGTGTGTGTGTGTGTGTGTGTGTGTGCGTGTCTGCGCGCACGCGCGTGCGTGTGTGTTTGTAGGATTTTCAGGTTAGACTGAAAGAAAGAAAAACTGTATGCAATTAAAATGCATTGGGATCTTTGAGGATAAATTGGGATTATAAACAACTTTCTTTATCAAATCTATGGCCAGGCATAAAAAAAGAGTGTCTTTCTGTTGTTTGCTTACGAACAGATTTGTCTACGAAACTCTGAAGTCGAGATGCTGAAGGTAAAATCACTCAGCTAAGTGACGAATTTTACTTACATTAATCTAATATATATAACTATATATATATAACTACCTCTGACCAACTGGAGGAAATTACACATAGAATCACGGAAATTATAATTGGTAGCAGAAGCCATTGGTTTATACCAACGGCTTTCCATACTTCATTCTCCAATTCACTCTCGTGTGGTCATGTGTAACGTCATGAGATGCGGGGCGATTTTCGCTTCTAGCGTCTTATATGCACGTGTTTATCGTTGCTTAGAAATCATCTATGTAAACAATGACAGACTATCATCACTGTCGTGTCCGTATATTGTTTAATATGTTGTAATTGACATCTTTGATAATGGCTTATGTAAGCCGAAAATTCAGATTGTATTAAAAAATATGGATCAATATTGTGAATTTCTTCGTTCAACGATAATGTTATTAAACTTATCAGATGTTACGAAAAAAATTTACATAAAATAAATAGACAACACTTGTCTATATTATTTAATGAAACGTGTATAAATGAAAATATGCTGCCTAAATACACACAATATATATATATATATATACATATATATATATATATATATATACTATTTACATTATTCAGACTATTGTCCGAATCTTTGTCGCCATATTTATTACAACGTTTTTTCAGGTGGTTGGAATGTTGAACTGAACTCTTTATTTCGCTCACTGGGGGTAGACTGTTGTAGTTCCAGGTGACATGTTTAATGGATGTCAGTTATCAGTTATCTCCTGTTAATTCCCCTCTCCAAGTTATCCACTGCCTTAACCGGGTATTGAACTCACACTTTTTGGGACCTGTCACTGGATCTAACTAACACCTTTATCCACTGTGCCATGTGCCCTTGAGAACATCTGTGTATGAATTTCTGGGTATTACAAATCTAATACCTTCAGCAATCATTTTGCTCATATTGACATCTTTGTTGTTATCATTGCATGTTTTTACCAGAGCACATATTGCAATTTTTGTTGTTATTATCGCCTTTCTCTGGCTCTCCTTATCACTGGTTCCCATATTGTATTCATTTCTATGCTTAGTCGGCTCAGGAGGTTTTTATGGCTTAGCAACAACCTGAAGAATGCCGGAACGTACAACGGCCGAAACGTTGTAATAAATATGGCGACAAAGATGAGGACAATAGTCCGAATAATGTAAATAGCGTACATAATCCCTCATCTCAGAAATATATATATATATATATATATATATATATATATATATGATGTGTTTGGTGTCTGTTGGATTTAAAATCAGTCCATCGAAACTATTGTTTTTATGCATGTACCTGTAAATACATATATATACATACACACTCACTGAGGCATATGCATATATTAGAATATTTTTGTTATGTATACTTGTACACACATGTACATATGTCCACTCATACGAGATTGGGCTGAAAAGTGCATAGGATGACTATGAAGAAGCGATGTTAGAACTGCGAAATAACGGAAGTATTAATTTCAATTCTTCTTATTTATAACTTCATTGTTTTGTTCCGGGTAAATGAAAATATGTGTTCAAAGAAAACTCCAAAATTAATTAGTAGTGATTTTTTTTTGAAAATGGATACAATTTGACATCGTGTTGTTATCAAGTAGCTGCAGAAACGGCTTTAGTCTTCCAAGGACATTCATGTTGACATGGTTTCTACATTAGGGGATGACACTCCGGCTTTATCAACAGTGCAAAAGTGGGCAGCTGAATTTAGGAGGAGAATAGAGAGTCTTGAAGATGACCCAATACCTGGACGTCCTGCAACTGCCATCACCGAGGAAATCAAATATTGTGTTCACTAATGTCAGATTATTAACTATGGATCAAAGTAGCTAATACTATTATCTTATCCCATGAGAGAGTTGAGAATATTCTGCACAATGAAGTTGGTATGAAGAAGGTTTCTGTTTGGTGGATGCCATATCTCCTGACACCTGATCAAAAGCGCACCTGGCTGATCACATCACAACAGAATCTGTTATTGTTTGAAGCAGATCCGACTGATTTCTTTGAACATTTTCTAACCCAGGATGAGTGTTGGATTCCTCACTTTGTTTCAGAGGCAATCCATGCAGTGGAAACAACTCTCCTCCCCTGCTTCAAAGAAGGCCATGGTTGTTTCATCTTAAGGAAAGGTAATGGTATCAAGTTTTGGGATGCACTGTGTTTATTCACTATCTTCAAAAGGGCCATGCCATCAATGGAGAGTATTATGTCAACTTGCTGAGGCAGCTACGAAAGGTAAGGAACAACTCACCACTTCCGAGTGAATATCACCGACTGAGCCTTTGGGACAACTCAGGACCGAGACAACTCAGCACCAGAAAAACATAACATTTTTATAACCAAATAAAAGTAATTTATTAAGAATTAAAACATTAATTAGCGAATATTTTTTTTCAAATAAAGCATTTGAAAATGCATTATGTAAAATATGAACCAGTTTTTGTTTTTAATTATTTTTAATAAAGTAAATCGTAAATATATTTGTTTTTTAATAAAGTAAATTGACATATAATAAAATAACTAAAAAACAAACTTGTTTTTAATTATTTTTAATAAAGTAAATCGAAAAAAGCAAAGCAAAATGGATGTTTTTCGTTTTCAATTAATTTTAATAAATTAAATCGTAATATAATTTATTTTTTAATAAATAAATAGACATTTTAAAATATTTTTATAAAATAATTTAATTAAGGTTTTAATCCTTAATAAATTACTTTTATTCAGTCATAAAAAAAACTTGTTTTACTGGTGTTGTGTTATTTCTTGAGTTGTCTCTCTCCTGAGCTGTCTTGGTGTTGAGTCAGCGGTGTTTTTCTATACCCGTTACAAAGGCCTTTTTTTAGCTTCTGTGTGTGACTGTGGCTTTAAACTGATTGGCCATGCTCCCTTTTCTCCTGATTTGTTCCCATCTGACTATAATCTGTTCCCCAACATAAAAAAGGAACCAGTATCGCAGTGATGATGACTTTATATCTGCTGTGGTCCGATGTATTACGGTGAACCACCAGTGCGTTTAGATTGCTTTTATGTAGATACGGTGTTCATATGATCTTTTTAATGTTTCTGGATGTTTTCCCCGATGTACAGTAAGCAACACCTTTGTGCAAAAAGTGCGATATGCTAAACATTTATGCAATGACAAAGATTGTTGTCAAAGAGTCATATCATTTTAAACTACTGGGTGGAGTGCCGTCAATAAATAGACGGAATCCGTAAAAACTGAAGTAAATTCAACCAATTACAAAGTTTTGTCCATTTTTGAGATTTAAACTCATTCATTTACATTTGCTTGATTTATTCTTTACAACACCATTCTGCAATCAGAGTAATGTCATCCCAAAAATGCAGTTTTAGAATCAGTGAACATAACTCGTTACTTGATTTTCGCTTCCATCCCGTGTTAAAGTGTCATAAAGCGTCTAAGATTTTAACTATTGCTCTATTTCTATGGTTTGTCCCTGTGTTGCCAAATGTTGATTAAAAGCCACTTATTAATTTGATCCGACTTATTCTTTGAAAAAAAAACCTAACTTGGATTCAAGAGTTGCTGGACTCAAGAAAACGACTGTTTCCTTCCCTGATTTATAACAGGGTATCATTTTAAGGTTGTCGTGAAGAATTTCGGAGTCACAAGGGCAATTCCTATCGTGACATTAACATGAAATGAAACCGCGAAAGAAACTGATTAAAACTTTCTTTTTGCAGTCGGTTGACAAAGCACGACTCTAAATTGTGAAAAGCAAAAAAACAAAAAAAAAAAACGTATGATTAAAAAGGAATTCTACCAATTTCCATTCTCGATAATTAATTATGATACATTAACACACAAACACAATTAATATACATACGCATGCATATACCCACGCACAACAAA